AAAAAGTAAGATGTAATAACAATAGTAAACAGTGTGTTTAGGCCTTGTTGTGTAAAAAAAAAAAAGTTATGAAATTTATGAACTAATTATGAGCCACTAAATCATGTTAATAGGTCCATTATCTCATTGGTTCATTTAATATTTAATGATTGTTTATACAAGTGTCATTACTTAATTAAAAGAAGTTATTAATTTATTAGTAAACACTTAATATCTTAAAAATTATAAACGATTATGAAAATACATTTTTAAATAGTTTAGTCATGAAAAATCCAGATTGCTAACTATTTTTATCATTTCATAATTATTTTTTTTAAAGATAACATACATTTTTCATTTTATAATCTAAAAGCAGTTATTTTTCTAATAATTTCTTCAATTTATCAAGATTAAATTAATTATTAGCATTTTAAAAGTTTAGATGAGTAGAGTGGAGTAATACTAGCTAAGTGTTGATCGACTATACTTTGTGAATATCATAACTAAAGTTTAATTACTTAAAATTATTTCAATACTTATTTGAAATTTATGTTACTTAAAAAAATGATAACTATAGAAATATTGAAAATCTAATTTTCTAAATGTAATAAAAAATAATTTTATAAATTTTTTGTAATTTTTTACTTTAAATTATCTTTTAAAAATATAAATACTTCTAGATAAAATAAGAATTAACCTTTAAAAGAAAAAAAAATGTATGATAAAAATAAACATTATGTTTGGACCTAATATATTTTAACAAAATCTTCTTAGTAACTGTTTTGAGGGAGTTTTAAAAATCATAGTAGATTTTATCAATCTTAAAATATTATAAATTAATAAGTTCGTCAATGCGTGATGTACTTTTTGTTATGGTATAAAATTGAGTGGATCATTTTATTATGTAAAAATGTTTCAATGTTTTAGGTAAGTTATTATTATTTAATAAAATCGATTTCCAAGTTAGATAAAAAATAATAATAAAAATAATTATAACTAGTATGCAATTTTGCATATTTGCATAAAATACAAAATATATTTTCTGAAGAAAAAAAAACTCTAATTTCACTATTTTTTTCAAATTATTTTAAAACCAATAAGTTTTAATGATTGGTTTCTTGCCAAACAAAAAATATATCCCGCATTGACGAACTTATTAATTTATAATATTTAAAGATTGATAATACTTACTATGATTTTTAAAATTCCCTCAAAACAGTTTCTAAGAAGATTTTGTTAAAATATATTAGGTCTAAACATAATGTTTATTTTTATCATACATTTTTTTTTTCTTTTAAAGGTTAATTCTTATTTTATATAAAAGTATTTATATTTTTAAAAGTAAAAAAAATTACAAAACATTTATAAAATTAGATTTTCAATGTTTCTATAGTTATCTTTTTTTTAAGTAACATAAATTTCAAATAAGTATTTAAATAGTTATAAGTAATTAAACTTTAGTTATGATATTCACAAGTATAGTCGATCAACACTTAGCTAGTATTACTCCACTCTACTCATCTAAGCTTTTAAAATGCTAATAAGTTTGATTATAGGTAAATTTTCTCCAATATTAAAGCTAACAACTTAAAATAGATTCTGCTGAAAGAAAATTTGTTATGTTGTATGTATGTAAGACGAAGATAACACATGCGGATGTGGTGGTTAGGTCATAAGTTAAATTACTTTTAATTATAATTTTATAGTAATAATGTGTCTAAACTCTATAAATTTAGACATAAAAATACAAACCTTTAATGTAATTTAACCATTTACAACTCACTACACTACTCTAAAATACTTAAATCAACCAATTATATTCTTTGGGTACTTCTTAGTAAAATTTCACTTGTTTTTATTAAATGTTTTCTATAACTTATACCTGATACCCATTCTAGAAATTAAAAAAAAATATAAATAATATTTTATGTAAATACCTATTACCTATATACTGAACATCACGAACATTTAAATAATTAAACAAGAGAAATATTGATTAAAATTTCAGTAAAATAATAATTGTATTACTGTTAACAGGAACAACTCAAGATATTAATGTAGAAGAAAGTCCCTCAAAAATTCTAAAAATAGCTGATCCTGAAGAGTCATTTTCTGATGAAAGATTTTTTAATACTGTGCAGAACCTCTTAAAAGAAGTCGACGACAAGAACATAAATGTGATAAAATTGCGCATTTTAGAATTTATTTCAGAAATACTTCGAAAAAATAAGACATGATGCTTCTAAACAATTTTAAAAAGATTATAATATCTAATTTGCTATCTATCTATAACAGTGTTTTACTCTGAGTATAACAGTTGTATTTATTTTTCTGACTTATCTTAGTAAAAATGTTTTAATAGCTAATCAATAATTATTTTATTATCATAGTAAAAATATAATCATGAAAATGTATAAAGACAATGTTTTTACTCACAAGAATTTTGAATAAATGAGAAAGCTTGAAATGCATATAAAAAAATATATTGTGCCTATGTATTTTTAATATTTTATACTGATATAAAAACTAATATTTTTTATTGATATTTATTGGAAAAAAAAAATTAAAAAGCTTTCGTGTCAATAAAGTCAAAATATTTTTAAACTATAATTTAACTAAGAAATAATATAAATATTCTATACAAATTTCAATTACCTACAGTAATTCATTTTTTGAATGACACCGTTTGAGAAGAAATAGTTATTATACAGATGAATGGTTCATCTTTTATAATTCAAACTTGCAAATGTTTTTTAGTAATATTTTTCAAAATTAATATTGTTATTTATCATTTAAATAAATAATTTTGTAAAATTGTACTAAAAAAATAATTGTATTTACATATTTTTAATACTTTTATACAAATGTCAGTTATAAAAATAACTGTTGTAGTTATCTTGGTGATAAGGCTAATAATACTGACAGACCATCTTCACTCTGAATCGTTTTTTGTATACAATGATGCGATTGAATTTTCAAATTTAACATTACTGTCAAAATAACTCAATTAACACCTAATGTATGGTATTTTATCCATTTATCTCCTTTCTTTTTTTTTTTTTAAAGTTTTTAAGAAAACTAACAATCTTTACTTTAAATAAACTTGCAATGTCTAAATATTCTTTTCAAAACTGAAAATATTATTTCCGATATCGTTATTTGTTGTATTTGAAATTAGGAGGTAGGTAATTTGGATTAATTAAGAACTTCTATCAATTCTAAATGATTTAATTATTTAAAAGAATGTCTTGCGTGCATGTGATGTTCTATTATTGTACATCTTCACAAATTTGCATTCAGCAGAATATATTCTAATATTTTATACTGTTTGTTTTAATATTAGTCAATCAACCTATTACCTAACTAGGTAAGAATATTTATTTAAGACATCATATTATGAAACTTTATTGTTATTTACATTTTAAAGTTTAAATATTTTACATGGCTATAATTCGGTCAAAATTAAGATATCAATAAAAGCCTATGTGATACCCTATATTATATTCTTACTTTCAAGTTCATGATTGGTAAATAACTATTATATCAAAGCTAACAGCATAAAATGGATTCTGCCAAATTTGCCATACACTTTATACGTTAGTAAAAAGACTATACACGTGATTACAATGGCTTCTTAATAAGCTACAAACTAAATTTAGGCTAAATTAATTTCAAAATTTCTATTAATATAAATAATTAATTATTGGGTTTTCTTTGAAATCAATCGAACTGAATAAAGAATTTAAATAAATATAAGAAAAATATTTCTTAAACATGATTTTTGACTAAAATTTTAAGCTGAAGATGTACCATATCTGATCGAATAAACTTAAGCTTAATTATTTACATCATAAAAATAATTGGAAAGCTATTATTGAAAATGTCAACTAATTTATACCTTTATGAGTATTATTATTTAATACACATACTAAATATTAAATTATAAGTGCTATGATTAAAATTGTTAAATCCTAATTTTGTGATTGTGTACAATCTTGTTTTAAGTTATCTAATAAAATGAAAACAATTGATAAATCAAGCACAGATTTTAATTTAATAATTTAAAACTTATAAAAAATACAATTATAGTTTTTAAGTTTATATACGTTTAGGTAGACTAGTAAAATGTAATAACTTACTAATAATTTCTTATGAAATTATCATAATTTTATTAAAATGTCAAGTAAAATTATCTTTTTTAGAGCTGCTGAGAATAATAAGTAATAATATGAATTAAAGTAATAATTAATATAAATTGGTTTGGTGTTGTATTAAAGTACACTTTTGTTAAGTTTTAAAATTATATTTTATAGGTACATACACAAATAACTAAAACAGTTAATAATTATCCTTGTTCTTCAGAATTTTATCGAAATCTAAAAATATATAACAGATAAATAATGGAAAATGTAAAGAGAACTAAAAAAAAAAAAAAAGGAATGATTAAATATTAACAAATAACTTATGGTTAATTTTTTATTTTTTCTTCTTATCAGTATTCATATTACTGTATTAAATTTCCCTGAAAAAGAAAAAAATTTGGATTAAAATAATTGTTATTTTAAAGTAAATGAAATATCATACCCATTCGCGAGCCATTATTAGAATAGTATGTTGATTCAATTTTGGCCCAACAAGTGGATTCATTTGAGCCATATAACAACACAACCAACTAAAAAATAATACATTATTAATATTATGTAACTGAAATACACTTGGTACTTTGCATTATTAATTTAACTGTTTTTATATCACCTATACCAAAGATGATAGAATTCAATGAATATTTGAGTTTTTTTTTTTTGCTATATTAAATTTAGTTAAGTATGGATTTTTTTTTTTAAGTATCATACAATAATTTATTAATATTATTTGTTATAATACTGTACTATGTATTTGACATAACAAGCTTCTATTTAAACTAAAACTCTTTCTATACTTACCATATTTTTTAATAATCAAATCATACCAAAAAAATCAGACATTTTCAGTTTGTCAAAACATAGTTATTTAACAATTTAGAATATTAAACCAAGAATTACTGGAGTAGTGCCTTACATACAAAAAGCTCTTATAGACTCATTTTCTGACAACATACTTTATTAAAATAATAACATTGAGGTCACATTTCAAAATAGAATTTTGGCCAAAAACTGGAATAATGATAAATTTTCACAGTTGGATTTTTTCCTAAACAAAAATGATACTTTTCACTCAAATTTAAAAGCAAACTAATTCCATTTCACCAGTCAACTAGTTATCTTGGATCTTAATGGTTACCTTCTCCATGTGTTTCAAGTTTTGTACTCCACACAGTTATCTATGTTACTTATTGTAATATATTTCAGTTAAGTTTAAAAAAAAATATAGTTATGAACATTTTTTAAAATTGTATTGTTGAAAAATTAAAACTGAAACTAATAAAATAAACTAAGGGAACAAAATGTAAGTAGACAGTAGTGATATAATAAAATAAATAATAAAAGTAGAATTGAAAAAAATTTTGTCAATAAAAGAATATTTAGTAGATTTGAATACTTGTAAATTAAATAGTAGAAATAACCATAATATATTAATAGAGCTTTAGAAAACCAAAATAAGAAATTAAGATAATTAAAACTGATGTTCACAAAGGTAAGTAAAAGGTAAGTAGATATTATATTGCCCTTTTTTTACATTTGATTAGTACTCACTATATTTTAAAGAAATGTTTATGTTTACTGATAACATACTGATGGTAGTATCATATTATTATCCTGAATTGTTAGCTTAATGATCCAAAACCATTCAAATGCCTATAATTATTGTATAGGCTAACAAATGGTAAATAAAAATTAATGAGTGGCTTGGCGTGGTGCATTGGCTGCTACCAGTCGCAGAATACAACTGAGAGTGAGTAACAGCCACAGCTACTAACTCCCAGATGGATGACTACCCGGAATCATAATGGTTAAAAACCTTGTCACACATACACATGTTTGCTATCAACCGTAACAATCGTAAAAAAAAAACTTACCGTACCAACCTTACACCTACCACAGTTCATAACCCCTACAACAGCTAATGGCCCTAGTTGCCGGGCTTAAGTTCAATAAAAAAAAAAAAAGTTAATGAAGAACCCTAGTCTATATAGCATATAATAAGTGACTTTCTCATAAAATTGTGAATGCCTTCCAATCTTGTCCAACAACTAAGTCCTACCATCAGCTAATAAAGTCGAATATCTAAGATTAACTTTTTACCAACAATTCATATAGAATGCATGAAAAAAACAAAACAAATCAGGCTTTCTTTTGAATGTTAATTATCTATAACTAACAAACTTAATACAAATAGATCAACAATCTACTCAGTTTGCTTAGATGGAATCCAGCTTTAGAGCACCGCTAAACTGCACTGCCCAATACAAAAATCTTACAAGCTTTCCAATTAATATGTACGCGTCAAATAATCACTGTTTTTTGATATGTTTCAATCATAAAAATTCACAAATTTAAAACTACCTAAACCACATAACAAACTGGTTAAATTTAATGATACTAAATTTTATAATTAACTAAACAAATAAGAGTAATTCTTTAGTCAAACAATGATCTCACACATATTTTTAACATATATTAAAATAGATTAAGTATTATAGCGTTACAGTAAGAAATCCTTAATAAATATAATATTCATAAATAATTACTTTAAAACACAAATAATATTAAGTTTATCATACTCACAACAAATAACAGGTTGCTGCTGTCATCATCAATACAAGTTGTTGAACACTAAAAAAATAAATCGACAATTACTTCAATTCATAATCTTATACAAAGGAACATGACCAAAATGAAATTACCCTCGATCTGGTCCTTTGGGAAGGATGAATGGTAACACAATGCCGACCACACCCCAGAAGCCAGTGAAAATTAAAACTGGTAAAGCAGCAGCTCCCATGATTACAGTATTAGCCTATACGCTAAAAAATATGGAATTTATGCAAGTTATTAATCAAATATAACAGATTGTGGATAACATTCAATGACCCAAAACCTACGTCTGCCCATAAGAAAAATATGATGGATCTACACAATTTACAGTACCTATAGAGATAACAATTTGTTGGTAAAACATTGAATCCGTTACGAATGAAATGCATAGCTTACCTTTGATAATAATTCGTCTACGGACGAGTGATGTCCAGTGACCGTTTAGCAAAATTATCCGTATAAAATGCACAGACAACAGAGTACCTTCAAGCACCGTTCAGCATTCAAGATTCGAGGTCTCAGATTTGGAGTAGGAAAACAGATTGTTGTGCACTTGTACTCCTCTAACGCCTTAATATCATATTTTCAATATCAACGTTTACGATACAGCTGCTGATAAAATGTACGCCCTACGACATCTTTGACGCGAGTCTGATGAGTTATATTCTCCTTGGCTGAAAAATGTTTTATTTTAGTTCACCGCAAGATGTCACTATACATTTATACTTATCATAAACACAATAATACTGTAAGTACTAATATTGTCTTCGATAGTTCACGGACACACGGTATTTTTATCTTGTAATTTGTACGCAAACACGGATTTATTAGTCATACATTTTAAAGCATATTTCATTCATAATTAGATGTTAAAAATGAACAAATTATTTGTCATTCACTGAACCACAATTCATCTGTAATTGAATTGAGAAAAATTAACTTATTTTTTTCCAAAAAAAATTTATTATTTCATTTGACTTTAAATATGTTTCCAGGTTACTGGGCAACGATATATCGGTGTTCGGTGACCAAATATTATAAAAGATATTAGAAAATATATTATTAAAGTGTCGATAATTTGATGTTTATTGTTGTCAGGATCGTATTAGGTATATTTATATTTGCTTTTTGTTGTTTTTCTTTTTTTCGGCGGGGAGAGGAAGATTGGTTAGTTTGGGTCTTGGGTAATTTTACGCCTGACAGTATGTACCTAATACGCTTTTTATATTGCTACTTTATGTAGTTATTAAGATAATTAAATTAATACAAAATTAAAAATATGTTTGACTATTATAAGCAAATAACACAGTAATTACAGTTAAAATATAGGTAGGTAGATAAATCTAGCTACCTTGTGGCTAGTACCAATAGTACCTACCATGATATAATTAACTAATTAGTAATTACTAATACTTTCTTTCTGCTCCCTGGATCTGCGCATGTTGTTATTGAAAATTTCACAAATTCAGAAATCTAAAACCATTAAAAGAGTTAATCTAGACATGGAAAATATACTTGCAACTAAGTTACAAAATAATCAAACTAAAAAATGTAGGTACCAAGCGAGTGTCTAAAATTTTAATTTAATGTTTAGTTAATGAAAAATTGATCTTTTCAACATGGAATAAAATGTAGCTCATCTGAAGGTATGTTTGCGTGTAGTGCTAAAATCGGATTAAGGTAATCGGTATTTCTAATATCAATTGTTATTTGTTAATAAATTACAGACTGAAAGTTTTAGAAGCGACTATAACATTCACGGATACTAAAAATAATTTTAAAGTTAACGATGAAAATGTATTAATTGAAGAAAAAAACAAAGGAAAAAAATTAAGTTCTAGAAAATATAAAAAAAAATTATTGTAAGAATAGTCTAAATGAAAGAAGTATCACAAAAATATTTTGCGAGGAAAAAGTTGAAGAAACTGTTAATGTCAAAATACTTAACGTAGCAGAAAGTTCGAAGTGATCTACGTTGTGTTCTTGGAGTTATATTATTATGTAATGTTTAAATTTTATTGTAAAATTAAGTAAAATATACATTTCATTATTTTTTATTTATTATTTTAGTTCATGAGGACGATTTTGAGATAGGAACCACTCAAGAAAAGTTGAAATACACATAAGTATGCTTGTAATCAGTTTACTTATCGAAAAGAAAAATTAGCTGACAGGAAGGACGTGTCTGAACTAACAAATATTTCATTAAGAGAAGCAGCAAGGAAATTTTCTAATTTTAGAAGAAAAATGGTATGACAGATATAATTGCGTTCAAAAATGCTCAAATAATCAAAAATGTATTTCTAAATGGCATTCTATATTTGTTAAAATAAATTATGGTACTAAAATATATTTATTTTATTCGTTAAACATTTTTAGCAGTTACACCTAATAATTTTGTTTATTAATAATAACAATTTTGTGTTTTTATTTATTAATTTATTATAATACTTAATTAATTAGTGATTACATTTATTGAATAGCCTAATAATATTATAAAATAACACAAGTAAAGTAGCGAAATAACCATTGTGGTTTACATTGTCCAAGTTATACTGGGCTATTCTATAATATATAGTCCGAGGAATGAATAATTTTGCTTATATTGCCTATCAAAACCGAGTAGTACCATAATGATCGGGTATTCAATAAATTTCAATAACCTGATTTTAAATCACAAATGGAAACATGCAATTATGTTGGAAATTTTTGGAACAATTAAGTGCTTGCAATGTCCTACAACCTATAAAACATAGTTTTTGAAAAGAAACATAACGTTTATCATTTTATAAAAACTATGTTGACATTATTGACGTTTCCAAGAATTATAAAGTTGTTGGTTGGAAAATCGTTAATGCGTTTGAGCTGAAGAACGATACCGTTTGGTTACGACCCTTATTAACATCCAACAAATTAAAACTACCCAATAAACTACTAATCTACAAACTTCTCATAAGATCTATTTGGACATATGATATTTAGCTCTGGGATGCAGCAAAAATATCTAACATTAACTGCAGTGGCGGCGCGTTAGGGTAGACAATGTGACATTGTCTACCCAAATATCCCAAAAATATAAAAAATTTAATTAAAAAAATTAGTTACCTACATATAAGTATTTTATTTGTTCATAATTTTATAAATAAAATGTTATTTACACTGATTTGTCTCTATAGTGTCTGTGCGAGTAACGACTAACGAGTATGACTAAATATATATAGTATAATTTTATTTATATCTTATCGGTAATTACGTTATCGCTCCGTTGTCGCTGTAAAATCGGTCGAGACATTTGAATTGTATTTCACTAGTCACTATTGATGACGGGGGTCTATGATATGGTAAACGGGGGATGTAGTGAGGTATTACCAAAATTATATGCATGGACGAGACATGTCTCAACGTAATATTTTAGTAATTTAATTGTATATTTGCATTCCAACTGTGGTTAATGGCACATGTTTAATGTTTATAATTTTTTCTTAATGAAGTGATATACATTTAAAACTTAATATTTCAGATATTATTGATATTATTTTAAATAAAGGTCTTGGTTCTTTTTCGCAACAAAACAAAATCGGCGAATTGATTTAAATTATATTCAAATATAGTTATTTTATGTAATTTACTTTTTTTTATGATGATCTAATTTTTAAATAAATATTATATAACACCATATCTTTGGTTGTCTTGTTGTCTACTCTATAAAATTGTTCACGCGCCGCCACTGATTAATTGTATTCAAATATTCCAAACAAAAATTCTTCGTATCGTTTCAAAAGCTCTATTCTATGTTTCTAACAAATTCCTCCATTCTAATTTTAAAATACCAACTGTAACTGAATTAGCCAAACTATAATTTAAGCATTTCAATAGTGTCGATTAACCCAATACCCAAACCCTCTCATAAATCAACTTTCATTCATAACCATTCCAGGCAATTTTCAAAAGAGGCTAAAAAGACAATGGTTTCGTGACCTGCTAAAATAAATTAATAAAAAAAAAAATAAAAAGTAACTAAGTCTAACTTTTAACTTTTTTTTTCCTCGACGAAGTATCTCCAATGGGAAATCTCTTTACTTCGTCATTCCAATGACTATTTATCATATGTTATCAATCAAGCTTATTGTTCATTTTTTTGTAAAAGATTGCTGAATAAAGAATTATGTAAAAAATACAAAATTTATATAAAAACCAGTTTTCCCTGTGCATTTATCGTTGCTCGTACGAAATGCATCCGTGTTAAAGTTTGTCACCTCATGCTAAAAAATTTGGCGTAACGCCTGGGGATAAATAATATTTTTGATTTTCTGATTTAGTATATAGACGATATTTCCGACTTATCAACTTTACATAGCTATTTTGTCCAGTGTTGCTTTTTTTGATCATTTTATAGAAGCATTTTTTTTTAAATTATTTTTCTTTTTCTTTTTTATTGAACAACTCTAATTTGATTTCCTTTTCATTATGGATCAATTTAGTTTCTTATATAATATGAATAATATGATACTTATATTAGAAAAAAAAACAATTAGTTAATAGTACAATAGACGCTAAACTGTAGAATGCCCAAAAGCGTGTAACTATTTTTGTTGAACCTTCTAAGTTCTTATGCTATAAACTTTTATTTATATGTATTTGTTCAACAATTTTGTTGTTTTTTAGTATGTACTCGTGTGAAAAGTTATAATACAACAAAAATTCTTTACCAGGAAATAAATCAATTCGAAATTAATATACCATGTCAATATTATTACTCAAAAATATCAATTTATACAATAATGAAAAAAAAACAAGTTGCTAAAAAATCAAACTGTTAATGTGGTTGAGGAACCGTGTTGATTTAATCATGCTAATTATCCTCAAAAAATCATAAATAAGTTTTGAAATCTCCCCAATATTAGAAAAAAATAATTTTTTTTGCTTTTTAAATATAAAAACATTGAAATTAACAATAACACATATAACATCACATTTTAAAATGTATGACAATATGATATCCTTTTTTTAAATTTTTAATTCAATTATTTATTTATTTACAAATGATTTTCTATAAAATAAAAAAATAAAGAAAAATGAACTTATGTTCTAATTAAATCTTGTTATAAATTAAACTTAATTGTATCATTTTCAAGTATTCTATAAACAATAAAAAGCTTATTTTTCAGTTGAATAGTTTCAAGTTTCATTTCTTTACATTTTTTTCAGCTTTTCTGAATGATATTTTTGTAAAAAACAATAGTTTTATATTAGTTTTTAATACTTTTAATCGGAATATGATTAAATTAAATATAAGAAACTTACCGAATAGTCAATGAATATTTTCCTTGCTGCATTTAATTGTATTTTGAAACTAGTTTCTTGATCAATTATTTCATGTTTCAATAATTTAATTTCTGATCTAAATAACAAAACATTTGAAACAATAGTTAAGTTTCAAATTTTGTATTTTAAAGTTTATTAATACAAAAACATAGCCTTTAAAAGTTATAATAAATTAAATAATAATTACCTAATACAATTAATAGAAAAATATTGTATTGATTACAGCTACATAAAACTCTATTTTTTATAA